TGAATATAATTTTTTTAATGAAGTGTGATTTCGAATATTTCGAATATAAGCCGCACCCCAGTTTTCCTCTTGAATTTTTGGCAACAAATGTGCGGCCTATACATGCGTAAATACGGTATTTCAAGATAGTAACTTCGTAAGCGCTAAAAAGGCGTGAGGAGTAAACCTAAATAAACTGACTCGGCTTAGATAAATTTGTTCCCGTGTTTAATAAATTAAGCAGTATGCCTTCAAAACACATGGGCTTCACTATTCTTGACATCAGCATTACGTTGGGCCGAGTGGTCAGTTTCACGCCCCACCCGCTTTGCCCCCTGGGGGAACAGCACCCAGTTCACATTTTATATGAGGCTGAGAAGGCTCCACAGCCGAACTGAACGATATGGAGAAGGCAAACATTTCTTACCACCGCCGGGAAACGAAACCCGGGCTTCCATCCTATAGTCTGTTGCTATATCATCTGTCATCCTAGCAAGCGATTTGACGAAATTTAATGCGCAGATTGGTGTAAAGTTATAGAGTTGTATCCGAGAGATCATGGTAATCCTTGGCCGGGATTCAACCACGGGTCGGGTAATTCCTGAAATTTCTCAGCTTCTCCAGACATGTGATGCGATAGCAGGCATATTGTGACGGGGCAGAGCCACCTGCCTTGGCATCTAGTTGCCCGCCATTCAGATGAAAAACTCCGTGGCCTGTAGTCCGCAAGCTAACTATACCGACCGAGCGACCGCCGCTTGTCGGCGAAGTTAGTGCTAACTTTTGCGGATAGAGGGTGTCACGCGGTCAGCGCAACGGATCCGGACGGCCGTTAATCTCGGTTTTCGAGACCGGAGCCGTTATTTCCTTGAACTAGCTCCTCAATTATCCTCACGAGGCTGAGTGAAGCCCGTTCCAGACCCACTACTTCTCAGAAAATCTGGTGGCGTCGGGAATCGAACCCGATAACTCTGCATCTGTAAGCAGGAAATCTGACCACTAGTCCACAGAGGCCATTCCGATTCGATGCTAAATACACCCTGCAGTTAAATTCAATTATCAAAGAACCGATTGATAAATCACCTGAGAATGAAATTTGTACGGCCTGAATAGAAGACACACGTTTTACCTCTTGAACTAATCTCTGTAAGGAGATGGTACTGAAGATGGAGCGATCAGAAGAGGTAACCAGCTTCCATTAATGTGACTCGACTGCAGGAATGTTTCGACTTTTCTGTTTACTGCTTCTTTCGGCTCAATACTCAATGAGCACTGGGATAGAGCAGACGAATCTTAATACAAACCGTTCATCTTAATTTATTGTCAAGATAAAGAGTGAACCAGACCCTCGTGATAGAGCGGGTGTCGGGGGGTAGCTTACCAAGCGCGTTACACGTCAAACTGATATTTATCTAACTTTGGAATTCCTTTTATTATATATGGGGGCACGCAGTAGCATACTTGAGGTACTATACTACATCCAGGAAGGTCGCGGGATCGAATCCTGATGAAGTTACCGAAATTTCAATTGACCTAATCCTTCTACTCACACTATGACCATGGGGTCGACTCAACACCTAACCGAAATGAGTACCAGGAATATTCCTGGGGGACAAAGGGCGGCCGGCGCGTAAGGCTGACAACATCACCGCCATCCAAGAGCCGATTATCTAGAAAATGTGTGAGCCTCGACGTCTCACAACCTTATGGGCTTCCATGACCTATTTTACCTCTTTCCTTTTTATGTATAAATTCCTTATGAGCTGACTAAAATGGGTACTGAAGACACATTTCAGACTATGGTAAAGCAGATAAAAAAGTGCTCTTTAAATTTTGGCTCGCTAATTAAATAAAGTTTAGGGGAACCGAGCGCATGAAGCCCTCTCCATAGTATATTATGCAGTTCATGCTCTGTACCTGCGAACTACAACAGAGAAGTAAGATTTGAGATTTTCACGGCGGTGACTATGAAGAATGCCGTCTTCTGGGATGTGGAGCCGTGTAGATCTTGTGTGAACCGACGTTTCCGAAACATCGGTTCACACAAGGCCTACACGGCGCCACATCCCAGAAGACGACATTCTTCTTTGTTACAAGGAACTTTGCGATACAGTATTATACTGTAAATAAAATATTTATTTATGAATTTGAAGAGAATGAATCATATGTAACCGCACTGGATAAATGCGATAAAAATCGGCGGTGTACTCGAATCCGCAGTATAACGGGGGCTTCCTGTACTTGGAAATATACTCAACAGCCCTGTACACAACTGACGGCTTTAGGAACAGGGGAAGTATACCTCATTTAGTTGTGAAACAATGATCCGACCCAAAAATACGTATGAAAATAAGATAGCTTGTTTGTGATTTAGGCATTTAAAAAGGCGCAGTTGTCCCTGTGCTTAATTAATTTAGTACTATTCCTTGAAGACACATGAAGAAGTGGAGGTAAACTCCAACATTCTTGGCCTCGGCATTAGGTGGAGGTGGGTTGGTCAGCTTCAGGGCCCGGCTCCTTTAGCCCCAGGGAATGAGCCCTAGGTCATTACATAGGAGGCTGGATGCCCTGAGCCGCTCTGGACGCTGTGAGTACAGAAAAATTTCTTGCCCTTGCCGGGAATCGAAACCCTATCCGTCCAGCCCGTTGCCCGTCGGTATACAGACAGTGCTATGCATATACGAGTATGTAGCAACACATATTTAATGGGTAATCATTATAATCTTCCTGTAACTAGAGCATTGCCGCCATAAATACTGTCTGTACGGCCTTCTTTAAGGTTCTGGTGAGCAAGAGAATTAGGGATAACATTAGCCACAAACGAAATATCGACGTCAGAGAAAGACAGAAAGTTCCAGATATCCATAAAAATATACCATTACAACTGGAAGTATTGCTTGGGATGAATGGAGAAACTATTTTCTACAATTGAAATTACCGGCTGAAGGGACGACAAAACCGACGACAGAGAGACTATGAGCATCTTAGTATTCATAGGAATGGGCCTTCATTCTTATTTTAGTTGGTTATTTAACGATGCTGTCACTGTGGTGCAACGATAATTGACTCGAGAAAGCAAAATACTTGGAGAAAACCCCACCCTAGTATCAATCTGTCCATCAGAAATCCCATAAGGTGACCTGGGATCGAACTCGGGTGGCCGCGGTAAGAAACGTTTATGATGCTACTGCTGACAACGATAAGGAAAATAATACGTCAGTGAGGTTAATTGCGCCAGCATTCAGAGACTCCCCAAATGTAGTTGCCTGCCTTTCATCCATTTATTAGTGCACACTGAGATACAGACAGGCGGAGACTCTCGTGAAACTTGAGACTTAGCAAATACAGAACGAGAAATCCTGAGCACATTACCGACTCAGACGCCTCGACGCAAATTATTGTTAGTTACTGAGGAAATCGCTTTCATGTCACACAAATAATATAACTTTACTCCTCTTGCACAGAGGCTGTCACCTAACAAGCGTGAATACGTTACAAGAGGCGTAAGGGCCCTTCTTTGAAATATGTTCCCGCCTACATGCGTCGTACCAAGAATGGAAACGCGACAAGTTCGCACTGAACCTAGGAAACTTATGTCGTATTGAACACAGGCTTTAATGTTGTACTTAGGTGAAGTGACAGGAGCCGGGATAGCATAGTTGTTATAGCGACTGGCTACGGGCTGGACGAGCGAGGGTTCGGAGTTCGAGTCCGTGTAAGGTCAAAACCTTATTTTCTCCACGTCATCCAGACCGGCTCTGTGGTCCACCAAGCTTCCTATCCAATGGGTCTCGGGAGTGCTTTCCCCGGGGGTAAAAGTGCGGGGGTGTAAAGCTAACCACTCAACTCCAACTAGTGCAGAATTCCAAGAAAATATGGATCCATACATCCACTCCCCCATACGCCTTCATGTCGTAGAGTTTAATTAATTAAACATTCGGACAATAGACTAAAAACCAGTTTAGCTCAATCGTAAAAGTACTTGTGCGCAGGTAGTCACAGAATGATATCCTATTCGACTCAGAATTTTCTGCTGACTTCAGTTATAAACACATTATGTTATAGATTATCATTATTTTGCCCTCCCTCATCCTCAAATAATATAATTCGAGGAATACGACCTTCTGGGTTGTAATACAACATAGTCCTGTAGAAGACAACCGACGTTTCGGAGGAAGGAGAGAAAATGTTTCTCCGAAACGCTGGTGAACATGTACCCGAACTACACGGCGTTACAACACAAGAGATCATACAGGTCACATTCACAGCTGTGAGAAAACCAAATCCCCCACCCCCAAATTTTCAGAACTTACCAGACCTACTAAAGTACGTCTGTAGAGTTGTGATGTTCTGGGGTACGATATCATACAGGCTGGTAGTTCCAGTTTCTGAGGAACCTGTTGCTTCTCCTTTCAAGGCAGAAGTACAGATTCTGGCTACATGACAAGAGTAGGCTATAATCTCGAGGATTCGCACATTGCGTACTTCCCCTGGCTCAACATCGATAGCAAACGTAAAGAAAGAGACCGAAGACATATGTGACAATATATGGGAGTGGGGGAAGGTAAGCAGAGGGCCGGCAGATGTTAAACAGAAGGGTGGGGGAAAATCTGTCTTCAATCTTTGGTTGACCCAAGTATAGTAAATCAGTGGATTTAACGTAAAGACTACATAAAGGCAAGAGAAGCCGAGAAATGTTCGATTAAATTTCTTATAATCATCCTGGATATGACAATATAGTTACCGGCTGTGGACTAGCAAAATGTGGGTTGAGGGGAAAAGATTTTCGCTAGTCATGACGTCCACACTGGCTCTGGTGACCACCCAGCCTCCTCGCACATGCCTACATGAAATTATCTTCCCATTTACCTTCATTTTAGGCGAATGGTCAGATTGCTTGGTGCTATGCCTCATGCATAACATATGGATGCATGTTCGCACATCTCCTTCCGTTATCTTTCGAACTATATATAACATCCGACTTTCAATGCAGAACGTAAATACAAAACTCTGCGTCTTACCTTCTTCTGCGAGTTGCCCTCCGTCAGAGTTCACTTCTTTCCCCCCTGCAAAAGGACAAAGAGAAACATCACGTTACGTTTCAAGCGCTCCTGTTTATTTATTTATCACGCCAGGACAAGCAAAGGAAAGCAAATCCTAAAGGGTTATATAATACCCAGTATTACTGGGTTCTTCTACTTTGTCCATCGTCCGGTATTCTAGAAACTAGAAAACACAACATTTCGGAAATTGGATCTATTTATGTCTTCACGTGAGGGTGGGGGGAGACACGTACTCTGTTGGATCCCTTAGAAGGCGTTAACTTCAATCATTGTGATTGTCCAGTGATTGAGGTTTGCTATTTCTAATGGACACAACAGAGTACGTGTCTCCCCCCTCACCTGAGGACGGAAACAGATGCAGATTCCGAAACGTTGTGTTTTCTAGTTTCTAGAATACCGGACGATGGAGAAAGTCCGAAACCCCAGCGATTCCAAAGGAAAGTACAAGTCTGTCTGCGTCCCGTGAGGGTTACTCTGCGGCTTATTATTACTGTTTGTTTAAAGTGAAGGAAATACTTTATACGGTTAGACAGATATTATTAAAATGTACACATTAAGGAGAATGATATGTATACGTGATGTAGTAAGTATGAGGGACTTTAATTGTTTCTTGCATCCTGTTGTGTATTTAATCAATATTACAGTCAATTTTACCGACCACACAACATATTTTTATTATTATAACACTACGTGTTTCGACATCAAGAGGTCATCCTCAGGTGTACGAACACAGCTGTATAATTACACGCAATCACATTCGTCTTCTCACTTATTCAGGCTCACGCTCAATAATATCAAGCTCTCTCATAAAACACAAGTTAAAATTGTTCTAAATGTCAAAAGTTAAAATTTAAATTAAAATTTTTTAAAAAGTTTAAATTTTATGAATCGAATTTCAATTCAGGTCACTAGTTATCGGTCCGGTTAATAGCCAGACTTCATACTTTATATACAAGAACCTAATGTGCTTCTCACTCTTCCTGCTCCGCCATGTGATCAAAGCAAGATATTTAATTAAAGTTTCGAAGGCAAAAAGAAACAAATAACAATCACGGAGTGGAATTAAGTCATGAGGCCGGCCATGACTCCTGCAGCAACATTATTTACGAAAAGTGCCAACAAGACTGACAGATTCGCTTCTTCGTATGTCTCAAACGCAGTTGCCAAGCAACTCGACTGCACTGCATACTGCATGTAACCTGCACGGAATTTCGTGCTCTGAAGCGGCGAGATGAAACATGTTGGCTTCGCGTGCTGAAAGATGTAGCCCCGCCAAAGGACGATTTTGGTTGGCACGCCTTTAAGACAGAAGAATATAAATCAAGGCCTGTCTTCCCGCTAGTTTCGAAACACGATATCGGAAGTCCACTGACAGTGACTTAAGGTAGAAATGTTTTAAAACTGCAGCTTGCGTAGCCTGAATATTATCAATGAATTCATGCTGTTCTTCAAACTGACTTATACTGCCTTTATTATTTTATCTGCAGACATTTGTTTCAGTCAAGGAGAATGAGATGGGCAGGGCATGTAGCATGACGGAGAGAAGGAATGCATATAAGATTTTGGTGGGAAGGCCAGAAGGAAGGAGATCACTAGCAAGACATACAAGTAGGTGGGAAGATTATATTAGAATGGATCTTAGATGAAAACGATGGGATGGACTGGATTAATCTGGCTCAGGATAGGGATCAGTGGAAGTCTCTTATGAATAAGGTAATGAACCTCCGAGTTCCATAAAATTTTGGGAAATTCTTGAGTAGCTGAGCGACAGGCGGCTTTTCAAGGACTGAGCTCCATTGAGTTAGTCAGTCAGTTAGTTAATATTTCAATTTTGGTCGCAAGCCGCGAAAGACGAGTCTATTCCAAGCGCTAGAAATACTCATAACGGCTTTAATAAGATTTGAAGTTTTCACAGTGATGAAGATCCATAACACAGCCATCTGAGTTATGACACCGCATGGTCTGGTAGGTGGGTAGCCGGCATAGCGCAGTCGGATGGACGACCGAGGGGTCGGAGTTCGAATCCCGGTAGGGTCAAGAATTTTCTCTTCTCCAAGTCGTTCACACCGGCTCTGGGATTCATCCAGTCTCCTATCCAATGGGTACCGGGGGCTCTTTCCCCGCTGGTAAAGCGACAGGGGAGTGAAGCTGACCGCTCAACTCCAGCTAGTGCCGAGGTAAAGAAAATGAGGATTTATACATCCACTCCCCCATACGCCTTCATGGCGTAGTGTTTAATTAGTTAAGCGCAAGGACACCTTTGCCTTTTATAGTCTTGCAGTTTTATCTGCATGGGCAGTATATTTCTCCGAAACACTGGTACTCACCAGTCACACTAGACGGTGACATGCATGCCCCACAAGAGTTCAGTATAAGCTGGAAATATTTATTCAAGCCCCGCTGTTCTGAATTACTGAGAAATTATTAAATATTTGAAGGAAAACTAGCCGAACAGCGAACAAATGTGGCATAAATTTGCTACTCGTTTCTTCATCCACTCATTGATCCACCAACTTACCAATTCACCCACAAACTGGATTATCCCTCCATAGGCACGCGTTAGTGTAGCTGGTTGAGGCACTGTACTAGAAGTCGGAAGGTCCCGGATTCGTTTCCCGATAAAGTCACTGAATTTTTCAACTGACCTAATACTTCCATCCACACTATGGCCCTGGGGTCGACAAGGCATCTAACAGAAATGGGAACCAGGAATCTTCCAGGGGGTAAATGGCGACAGGTGTCAAAGGCTGATACCTGTGAGCCGACTGTCTACAAAATGTGGGAACCTCAACGTCTGGCAACCTTATGGGCCTCCACGGCCTGTCACAGGGATAGCTTTACCTTTTTACAAATTTATCAAAATTAAAACATTTTAAACAAGTATCTATTTACTAATACTAATGTTTTACACGCCGGTCACGGTAGCCGAGCAATCTAAGGCATGCACTGTCTTCGCTCGCTCGAAAGCCGGGATCGTGGGTTCGAATCCCACTCAGAGCATGGATATTTGGTATTTGTGTGTGTATTTTTCTGTGTTTGTGTACAGACAGAGCCCTTGCGACGAGCTGATCACCCGCCCAAGGAGTCCTATCGAACGTCTAAGATACAGTAAACCGAAGTGAAACGGAGAGTTTCTTGGAGCTAGGCCAAGGCCAAAATTTGGGCTGTAGAGCAAAAGGAAAAAAAAAAGTTTTATATTCGATACATTTTATTCTTCTTTTACCACGAAATGTTTTCTATTAAACAAGTTTTCAGCGGGTCTAATATTTCATATCACGTTGACGAATGATTCCTGCAGTAGAAGCGACTGGACACTGCTACAGGTAATTTCTTGAACATTAATGATCCCTGTGCTGCACGAGCGGGTACCTAACCATCCTTCACAGTGAGAACAGAAAACAAAACAAATCTCAACTCTACTCCAGCTGATGGGTTCAAATGCCAATAAAACGTGTTGGAATGTTGGAGCCCTTCTTTAGTATTACAGTCGATGTGCTCTTAGGGCAATGTGGAAACAAGTCCAACTTGTCTCATTTAGGTAGCATTCGCGCGTGCGCAATGCAGATGTAACGTGCTGACCGATACTATGCTCGAGCAACAATCTTGTAGAATCCACTAATCCAGGTAACATCAATCTATGGCCTTGCTTCTTAATCATTGTTACCTCCAACTTCCATTGTTTCTGAGGGCACAAAAAATTTGTTTCTTAAGGTATAACAACTGTACATACACCATTTCGCGTAAGGCTGACAACCTTACCGCCATCTTTGAGCCGATTGTCTAGATAATGTGGGACCCTCAACGTCTCACAACCCTATGGGCCTTCACGGCCTGTTACAGGGATACCTTTACATTTTACTTACACGATTAAATTAAGTAAAATAACAGATTCCATGCCATAGCTCAGGCGGTTATTCGCGGCTTCCCACCGCGGCGGCCCGGATTCGATCCCAAATGAAGTCGTATGGGATTTATGAAGTGGTACTGGGGTAGGGTTTCTCCGAGTACTTCGGTTTCCCCTACCAATTCTCATTCCACCGACTGCTACATACACATCCATCTTCTGGTGCTGGTACAATAGGCCAAGGACTCAGTCTCACCCTACCCAAAGAAACTTAAAAAAAAAAAAAGTAAAATCACAACCGGAATTAAAAAAAACAGCATTCCGTTTTTTCCTGTCTCCTATATTCAACCATTCAACTTTCAAACATTATTTCCTTACGAAATACGGCGGTTAACTGGCATTTTCACTGCCGCTACACTCTGCAGTTCTGGCTGTAACATGCAATTTACAACTATAAAAGAGGGTCACTCTTCATAAATGCAACAAGAGCGTGGTGAAAGTGACTGATGGGAATAGTTCAGCAGCACTGTCTGAAACTGAGCTAACAGCGTTCCGGAATATTGCTTACAACAATAGTTGGGGGACGAGAGAGCTACTGTCTGGAGCATGCAGAGCCTCGAAGTGAGTCCTTCAGTGGTCTTCTCGGTTTACTTTACAATGCTGCCACTACAATAATTACTTCATACAATATACTCGCATAAATCCGTTACTAACGCAATAAAAGATAACAAGATAAAAGGTAAAGCTATCCCTATAACAGGCTGTGAAGGCCCATAGGGTTCTGAGACGTCGAGGATCCCACATTTTCTAGACGACTGTCTCACAGATGGCGGTGAGGTTGTCACCCTTACGCCCCGGCCGCCCTTTACACCTTCAGGTAGATTCCTGGTACTCAATTATATTAGAGGCTTACTGGACCCCAGGGCCATAGTGAGGCTGCAAGGATTACGTCGATTAAAAAATCCCATGACCTCACAGATAATCGAACCCGTGACCTTCCGGCTTGTAGCATAGTGCCCCTCAAGAAAGTTACAGTCACTTTTATGTATTTATTCACGACATGTTTCGACCATACACGGCCATCATCAGGTGTCTGTCGCTATGCTAAACTGTTGTACTGCATGGCACAATTGTATGTGGCTAGTTATCGGTAAGTCTT